TTAAACGTAACTACKTCCAACTCACATTAACGCTACAACAATAACTTTTTTAATATTCTCATTTTAGTGGAAACGTCGTCGGTTATAATCCGTATCAGGTAGGTAAGCCATCGTGTGCGACATATGGCTTGCGATCGTCAGCGCGTTATCAGGGCTTATGCGCACCATCGGTAGCGCCAGTTGTTAGCGCCAACGACATTGACACGTATGAGTACAAACAAACTAGCAACAACAACAAAATCCCATATGCAACGCAACCAGCTACAACATCAACCTCTTCTTCTTCCTCCTCCTCCTCTTCCTCCTCTGTATATTCTTCCAAACAGGCGACGCACACATTTGGTCAGCGTAAGACCGCAACAACAAATTCCGCGTTTAGCGCCACACTACATAAGGCTACAGCAACAACAACAATCACAAGTGGCCACAAGACGTACACAACTCAGACCGGTGGCAGCAGCAACAAATAYAAGAACAAGCTCGAGGCATATCGCCCGTCCACAAGCGAATACCAGAGGTCCGTACAGAAACACACCATTCTGAGGACCTACTTGAGCAATCCCAATTTGAGTGAGCAGCAATTGCAGCAGGAGGCACAAAAGCAACAACAACAACAAAATGGTAATGACAATGTCGCCACCGAAGTATACATTTTCGACGAAAGCAAACAACAACCACAACAAATAGCGACCAATACAGCATCGCAACCGGCCAAGCGCGGCTGGAGTCTCTTGACGTGGCGTGGCTAAATCATCTCGTATGTGTGTGCYCAGTGAGTGGATCGCTTGCTTGGTTACTTATGTAGTGATCGCACAGCGACCATTGTAGCGCATAATTGGAAGGGTGTTTCAGTTTCTAAATTTGTGGAAATATTTTTCGTGTCATTTTGTTGCATGTGGCAAGTGAAAACTTCAATACGATTACTACTGTGTAGTAACGGCAAATATGTGTGCCACTACGCAAAGAAATTTTAATTCAAAAATGAGATGAAAAAGTCCGAGAACAAAAACTTTTTTTTTTTACTATGCGCCCTTCTGTTGTTGTATTGCCATTCAAATTGTATTTGTAATTAGTAGCTATTGAAAAAACAAAAATATTCCTAATATTAACGAAAAATTTATGAATTTAAAATTCAYACAGCTTTCATTAGTTAGTAAGTAGCGCACTCGCTAGTTAGGTCTAAATACAAACTATTACATATATTTAGTCTAAACGATCGTCAAATTTTTGTCACAGCCACTCAAAAGTTCACAACTACCATACACTGCCCACAGCCACGTCAACCCAAGCCAACAACRATCATTTTCGCTCTTCGAAAACTTTTAAGCATAAGCTCCAATAGACTCTGTAGTTACAAGATTTCATCGCCTCAACTCAGGGCTTGYCATCAAATGCCCACATATGAATCTACTCTTCATATAAATACATAGATATACCTACATAACTATACACACATATATCAATACTATGCCATATGCCAATTAGCGACCGCTATTTCGCGCCATTTTACTGCCGAAAACTGCCACCAGCGATCAGCATCTAAACACACATACATATATACAAAACTATTATATTTTTCATAAACTATCATTTTAGTATTAGTAAGAGATAAGTAAAGAAAATACATACATACGCATACTATATGTATATAATATCCAAAACTATGTAATCGCCTATGATACGAATGTTTGTATCAAACGTTTGTACCCACATTTGTCTAACACATGCACACAGTACACACATACTATGCAAAACAATAGTGACTAAAGCAAAAACATTAAACATATCCATACGTACATATGTAAGCATGTGTTTGCTAAATTTGCTGAATACCATATAGTCTAGTTATAAAAAAACAGAATGCGCAGAGAGTTTTGCATAAATATCGCATGCGATTTTTCTTAACAAAATGACACTTGTAGATTTTAATTTTCACCGCCATTTTTATGCAAAACCCTTTGCAATGAAATATTTGTAAACATTAATGCAATAGTGGTAATTTTTAAGCAAATATTGTGTGAAGTATTCTTGCGGAAATTATATAAATGCATTATGAATAAAACATTAGTTATCTAAAAATTGTATTTTATATTTCAATAAATCTTTTAGAACTTGTCTTAAAAAAATCACTTTTCCAAGTTGGCGAACAGAGATAGATAAGAAATTTGTTGCAGATGTATTCGGATTTGAGATCTGCTCGCCCCTGTGCTCTCAGTTCTTTATATAGCAGACCGACCGTCCAGTGGTCAACTCTAACTGCCGTCATAGTGCAACCTATGCTGGTGATACTGCACTGCATACACTACCATTAACTAACCTAACCTGGCAAATCTAATACTGCTTACAGAGAACTGCACTTGCAACTGAATACTCAAGAGCAGTGGCTCACCAATACCGAAAAGTTCCTGCCACAAGCACAAATATTGCCCTTAACTGGCTTTATGTGGTCAGTTGTTGATAAGAGGCGCACTTGGAAAAACACGTAAAAATAAAAAKAACTTTGCTAAGAATAAATTTTGCGCAACTATACTGACTCGTTAGGCCAAGATCCTGCCTCAGTTTTAAAAATAAGTTGCCAATTTATAAGGTAATACTTAGGCCGAAAATCTGGGGTAGAACTCATCTCATTTTTAAAGTAATTCAAACTTGTTAATATAAAGTTCTGCGCACTATAGTGGAGGCTCCTTTCTATGTGAAAAACAATGGCTTTCATCGAGATCAACGAATTTCAAATTACAAAAAAAATTAACAAAATACAGTACAAAAGTCGATTTTCTAAAGTCGCCAATCGTGGTAGGATGCATAAATATGGTCCAAGCGAAGTTAGTCGAATTACCTTCAAATACTTATGCTAACCAATTGATGACACAAATTGTGAAAATTCCAAAAAAAAAAAAAAAAAAAAAAAAAAATTCAAAAAAAAAAAAAAAAAAAAAAAAAAAAAAACAACAAAAAAAAACAATAAAGAAAGGGCAAAGTTTGGTTGCAACCGACCATTTTATACTATTGCAACTTGCACGAATTAAAGCAAGGGAAATGCTAATAAAGTGTAAAACCAATCATACGGAGTAAAGTCAGCCGGGTGTTCGATAATCCTGATAWTAGTTATATAGGAGCTAGGCCAAGTTTTCGCTAAAATRTGTCTATTTTTGGCACAAATATACAMTKTTATAAATAAAAYACGCTCCCTTATTATCATTGGGATAACTCACATAATGACCTATAWATGYGGTACAAAGTCAACCGGAGGTGCGAAAATCTTTATATTAWGGATATTGGGGCTAAGGGAAGTATTCGTCCGCTTCAACCCATTTTTGASATACAGATATACCGTTATAACAGAAKGATTATCCCTTAATTGCAGTTGCATATACCACACATTCACCGAAATTTTCGATCAAAATGTATAGGTACTGKGGTGTAAATATTCGGTAAATAGGGGCTTGAACAGTTTTTATTGGATTCAAAAATTTTTTTCTTATAGGATGATACATAYTAAAGACATTATTYGTGCAAAGTTTTATCCYGTTATATTGATTGCTTCTTAATTACTGGARACTGAMCGAATCAAGTGGAATTTAAAGTTGTGCTTTATTGAAAGTAGRCGTGGTTATTGTCCGATTTCACTCAGTTTCAGAATGGGACATAAGAATATCAAAACAATGCTGCATACTATACTTTGTCCAAATCGGTTGGACGGGTCCCGAGATAGAGCGTTCTCACCTCATCAGCGCCGGAAGAATGTGGCTAAAACATATTGAAGCACAAGTGTTGCSTAGCTGGGTGGCAATAAATGGCTCGTTCGAATATCTCATTTCCCTTTCTCATTAATATATTAATAATTTACAGAATTCACTGTAAAAAAAAAATCGACTTGCCGATGCCGCCAGTTGAACTACGATCAACATTTGTAATGCAAATATGTTAACCAAGCTGTAATCTAGTCTGTGCGAATTTCAAAATATGTTTTCCTCAATCAATCGCAGAGATATTTCTATGAATATTCTACAACTTGTCGCTTTGTGTGAAATTTTTTTTTTTTACTTAGCTGGCGGCCTGAGGTAGGTAAAAAATTTGGATGCGGAAATTTTGCCCAAGCGATGGCGCTGAGTAAGAAATTGTAAATAAAATATTCCGCTGCTGATTTTCGATATATTTCAACAGAACCTTTACACAGCTGCTTGCTTGTCACTTCTGGGCGCCTGGTACGAATAGACAAATTAGCGTATGGTTCAGGGGGTATTTCTAGTCTAGACATTTGTTTCTTAAACTTAGAAGAGTACACAAAATAAGTTAAAAAAATAAAAAATAATCGAGTTATGCGTCCTTGAAGAAAAGGGGTGGGGAAAAGAGGGGGGTCCTCATCACCATGATTTCTACCCTTGTCGTCATCTGAAAAATAAAACAATGACAGATTCTTAAAGAGTACGAATGTCGCTATGTCTTGAAGCAGCAAAAATTTTCATAAAATGGCGGCTACTCAAAAAACTTGATTTTTTTAAATATTATATTATATTATATTGGAATATCAAATCGATCGAATTATGAAAAAAAAAATCGATTTTTTCAAATTTCTAGACTTAATTTTATCTGACCGACTGGCAGGTTGTATATGAGTGACACTTTTATTGCATACTTTTAGGCTTATGTGTAAAGTGCATATATGTGCATGCCACCGGACGCAGCATATTAAAATTTTTATTCTTATATACTTTTATACGCCTAAGTTTTTCAGTTTTTTTAAGTGCCATTTCCTGGGTACCGTACATTTTTTTTATACAAAATTATTGTCCAAGATATGCAGTGTTGTAGTTAGAAAAAAAAACTTTTGTTTTCGGAACGGAAACGCATTTTTACGGCCAAAAACTGTCAAATCAGCAACATTGTAGCTCCAAATTACTTCAGCAAAGTGTTCTGCCACTAAAATATAAAAAATATTGTACAGTTATTTCAAGGAATCTGCCAGGATTATAGCTACGTTGCAGTAAAAGTAAAAAAGCTAACATTGTAATTTAACTTTATTCATATTTTTCAACTTTTATTTAAATTTAATGAAAATGAAAGCGCAATTCACGTGAAACAAGTATGATAGTACATACAACGATATATCTTATGCTATTCTACTAACAAATGAATTCGGCAAATAATGGACATGAATATGATGATAAAGTGTAAATAAACATTAAATTTARAATTAATTCAGAAATAGAAATTATGTAATGTGCGATGAACGGATCYTTGGAATTTGCAGCTGCAATCATCTACTCATCATCATCGTCGTCGTCGATGATAGCGAGACGACGTCGTTTGGCCGGCTCCTCAMCGCTGTCTAAACGCTGTTGTTCCTCCTTGGTTGGCTTCCGGCGCATGATGAATGCATCCTCTTCCTCGCTATCGGGCTGTTTCCCAGCAATGGTGTCATATTCCTCATCGCTATCGTCCAAAATGTCACGTTTGCGTTTATTTGTTGTTGTGTGTGCTGCAAWCTCATCAACAGGTKCTGCGCTGTCAGCCGTTGTGATGATGTCAGCAGCAATTGCTTGATTTCCTTCTGTGCTAACAATKCCAGCATCCAAACCGCGTGCGCCGTCATCATCTGCAGCCGCAACTTCATTGTCGCTCACAACAYCATTATCGTTGGTGTCTTCTTTGTTGTYTTCATTGTCGCCCCTGTTCATTTCATCATTTACATTGGCGCTATCATCTTCTTCGCTATCGGAGTCAATTACATTAGCGCGCCGCATGCGAGTCTTATWGTTGRTGTTGYTGGTCGTTGCTGTGGTGTCTGCGTCGTCGTCTTCATCGCTGTCGCCAAGCTCAAGCAGCCGCTTGCGATAGTCTTCTGAATTGAAATTRAGCTCGTCCATTTCCTCGGTGTAAGTGGTGGCCTCACGTTTCTTCTTGGCGGTTTGAGAYTTCAGTTGATCGAATAAATCGCTCACAACATCGGATCGCTCTACAGCGGTTGACTTTGCGACGTCATCATCATCATCATCACTACTGATRGCTGCTTGACGCCGCTTTTTGTCGAGTTTCTTTATGATTTCATCAACCTCAGCCGCATCGTTGTCGGAGTTTTTGTCCACATTTTTACCTTTGCCTGCTTTGGTTTTACGTTCACGCTTCTGCTTTTGTCCAATACCCGCACGTTCARTGTCCTCCTCATCGCTTTTATTAAACATAATGCTGCGCATTTTTTGCGCACGCTTCTCGACGAAGTCGTCCATTGCGGCCATGCGTTTCTTATGTTTCTCAGCGAAGTTATCAAAGAAATCTTCCTCGCTTTCACTGTCCTGCCTTGCAGCACCGCCAGCATTGCCGTCGGAATCACTGTCCGACTCATCGTCATCATCATCGTCGTCATCATCATCATCCGATTCGTCTCCGCTAGCGACCTCCACTGCCGTTTCCGTATCGGCACCCTCCTCCTCTACATCTTCCATATCGATGTCGATCTCTTCGGCAGCTACGATTTTCGCACGGAAYTTCAAGTCAGCTGAATTGAGRTAGACTGGTATGCGCCAATAGCTTTCTGTGCCCAACAATGGTGGCTGTATGCCCAAAGCTACGATTATCTTTTGGAAATCAGTATTCTCCATGGCTTCACGTGTGATCTCTTGTAGTGGCACCAATGGCACTCCATCATCCTCTTCACCGGGCTCTTCGGTATCTTCGGCTGCATCATCTAGGCATTCTTTCAACCAATCAATGGCCTCCTGATACTTATCGGCAACTTGTGCCATCAGCGCCTTTACAGTGCCCACATCGAGTGGCGTACGTACGATTTTACGCTTCACCGGTTTGGCGGGTTTGGCTGTCGCCGCCAACTTGTTCTTATTTTTCTTCAATTTATCCTTCTTCTTCTTCTTAGACGACTTCGAGGCTTTAGGTYCACTAGGCGACTGCATTTCACCAAATTGCGGCTCTTCCATGAATTCACCCTCGTTGTCACTGCCTTCCGCATTGACACCTGCCTTCTTCGACTTGCGCTTCGGTTTCTTCTTCGGCATAATCTCCGATTTATCCGCGATTATATGCAATTGCAGCAGACGTTGTATTATCTGCCGCTTTGTGCGGCGATCTACGAATTCGTTGATGATGCGTTGCAAGCAATCTGCAAGTGAAGGACGTTCAAATAAGTAATGTGTTCAGAAAATGTTTTCCCAAAATACTTACCGTCCTCCAGGCGATGTTCATCGTAGAGACTTTGCAGTTCTTCATCTTCCTCTGTGGACCATAGCTTTTTGTTGACTGCACCGGCAGTCGTACGCTTTGTGGGTGCCTTGAATATCARACCCATTTCCTTCATCTTTTTAAGCACCATGCGCCGCGTGCGTGTCTTCTCATTCAGATGCTCCAATATCCAATCAATCACATCTGCAAAGACAAATGCGTAAGAGTTTGGGTAATATAACTAAAACTATTTCCTAAATCAACGAGTGTCGAATACAAATCAATCAGCCCCCCATACACTTTCATAACACTTGTCCCACAAAAAACTCATATCCCTCCCTCACATCTAAAATCGAGCGTTTAAGGAGGGATTTAAATTTAATTTGCCAAAATGCGCCCTCACCACGGGCTTCAACTACGGTAAACCCTTTTCACCAACTAAATGGTTGCGAATTAGAAAAACTGACGAAGTGATGAAGCATTTTTCGGCTTGTGGTCAAGTAGTTATTGTTGTTGGGCYTCCGCCAACTATATGCAACTAAGTTTGTTGTTGCTGTTGTTAGCGCTTGTTGGCGCATTTGTTGAAAGTGTCGTCTACTTTGGCATTCGCTAGTTGTTGAGGTTGCGGTTTCGGTTTCGGCTTCGGTTTTTTGCGCGTCACTGACGACGGCTGGCAACCAGTAAGATTGATAAGGAAGGTGTTTATGCGCTCAAATCTAAGTTTGTATGTATACCGTTATTTGTATGTGTGGGAGATTTAAAGTTCAAAAATTTGTGCGTGTGAGTTCAGCTGCTAATCGCCTGACTGTAGTGGCTGTAGCATAGAGTGCCACTAAATTTTACCAAGCTATGTGTWTAGGTATAAGGAATAAAATTGCGGAAAATTTAATTTATGATTTCGTTAACTGCGGTGGTTTAAAAATTATAGACGTTGGCATTTTCGAAAACCAGAATGGTGGTTTGAAGACACTTAAGCCGTCTGATACTTTAATGTAATAAAGGAGCAGGCTCAAACATTATATCAGGTCCGACCGAGAAACTACTTTAGATCTAAACTGCGGACTACAATTGTTACAAAAATCCTGGAATAAAAACACCAAACGGTGGTAAGTTTGGGCTACCAAAGAGAACCTCGGACTTCGTCGGATGAGTCCGAAACGAACCAGGGTTTGAAACAAGCAGATTGATTACTGATTTCTAGATGGCGAATCCATCTAGTCTCGAGACAGTACTTCTTCAATAGCCCTAGTACTTTGGAAGAATAGCGCCTACCTTAGAAATTTTCTCCACATAATTATAAGTAAGGAAATGTGTTCTAAAAAAAATAGAAAATAGACTTGTAACTGTGCTGGGGCACAGTGGTATCGCCAGAAATTACAAAGTCGAAGTGCTCACTACGGCGATTTGAGCGCCCTTACTCCAATTTCACTCGATTGAAAGCGATTCGGTTGGCTGACGTTCCCGATAGTTCTAGTGCCGGACCTATGTACCGCTAGTGAGTCCGGAAAGCGCTGGTCAACCACCAGAAGTCAGCAGACTAAGGACACCTGGTGTGGACTATTGTAGAAGGTATCAAAACATCTTCGATGCCTGTGTAAATCGCAAAGAACTAAAACTGGTCCATGCGTGGCTTATTGGCTTACCAGATTAACCTAAGCTAACCTAACCTAGTCTAGGCCAATGTAACGAAAAATAATCGCAACTATTGTTGAGCGTTTCTTGACGATATTTCGGATGTTGCACAGATATAACTTTTAGTATTGATAAACTTCATCAGAAGCATGGAATGGTTTAAAGAGAACATAATAAAGTGAGGAGATTCGAATGCCAATGGTTTCATGATAGGCCTCTTAAAGGCCTAGTTATGTCGTCAGTGACCAGTGAATGTATAAAAATCACACTCCCCTCCAGCGCTCGAGCGCCGTTGTAATCAATTTGAATAAATAATAAATCAACCACTGCTTCCGCCCGCTCAATTCACAAATATTTATTTCTCCAACATCAACCCCATTAATTTCGACATTTGTGACAGTTTAATAAAAACAAATATTAGTTTGTCATTTCAGCGCTGGCGTCGTCACTTGGCTGCCTGCTGCCCACAGCGCAATGCGCCAAACCCACAAAACGCATACCTAGGCACAAACACAGACACAAACATACTTAGAGACAACTAAAATGCCGTCTCAATTTCAATGAATTGCTAAAACTGTCTCAATGTGACGCAAATGATGTGCGCAATTATGCGCGACGGACACAAAGGCCTTGCGGCCCGACCCACTACCAGCGCCGCGCAACAGCACACAGTCGAATGGCGGAATAAGTGAAGAAATAATGTTGACATTTGTGTGACAGTAGGTGGGGCGCGGTGACGTTTGACGGCAATCAATTCACAGGACTCTATGATGGATGCAATTACAAATTTGTGATTTTAAGCAGAGCGCATGAATGATTATTTGCTGGCAGTTTGAGGTTAGGCGCGCACCGCTGAGTTGATATTTATGGCGGCACCATTATACTTTTTGTACGTACAATAACATAACTATAGGAAATAGGTGRCGACAACTTACCCTTATCAGTTTCAGGATTACGCTGATTCTCCTCAAAGAGCATACGCAATTGGTCCTCCTGTTCTTCGGTCCAGACGCCTTTAGCGCTATTGAGCATAAAATACAAGAGAAAAGTCAGCAAGTTGGAATAGCACAACAAAGGTCTATATGTATTTGTAATACAAAGCAGAAACAATCATTTATCATTCCATCTGCAGCAGACGGCKCACAGGCAGGCTGGCTGAYGGACAGACTGGCAGTTAAGTGATACATGAGCACAACTGCCGTTGTCACATGAGCAGCCGCGGCTTACAAGCAGCCAGCAATAATGCTGTCTGTTTCTTTCAAAAACGTRTTAGRAGGGAATTTATTAAATAATGAATGCGGTTAAATGAAAAATGCTCCAGGGAGCTCACCGAAAAGGACCGCATGCGAGAGGAACCCTGCTGCCGTCAAAGCTGCTTTAATAATTACTGGTGCTCATACTTACGGCTCATATGCATCCAAATAGCCGCCTTCCAACTCGTTCGCCTCCTTCACGTTTTTCCAGAATAATAATTCAGCGTAGATTTTCGGATTTTTGGGCGCCACCTCGACAAATTTACGCACCACATAGATGCCGAGACGGCGCAACTCCTCATGATGAGCATCACGTTCGACGTTGAAGACCTGCTGAAAGATGCGAAGCAGTTTTGCCTGCAAACAAATAATAATAATAATGAAAAGAGTAAGGTTAGGCATTTGGTGCGAGAGTGTGTGGAGTAAAGTGGAGAAATAACAAAGTGTTGAGGCGGATATGTTGATGACTTGTTTGARAATGGCTTGAAAGTGCGGTTAACCCGAAGTCGGCGGATAAGGCTCTTCGCCAATATTAGACAAAGTGCCAGCTGCTGGCTGTACGTGCAATTTATTTTATAATTGCACATATACGCGCGCAAGTACCGCTATATATATACATATAAATAAATACATGTAAATATACTCGTAAGCACACACGCTTTGTTGGGTGTTTATGAGTGTTGAAACGTTTATATATACCAAATCATTAGCGGTTGCAATGCGCACAACTGAGACMAAACCACGCGTCCGCCAGTGCCAGCAGACAGTCAGTTAGTCGCCCAGACGCCACAGTCAAAGCAATTCAATTATCCTGCTGCATTTGCTGGCGAGTGTTTGTGTCTGGTGTCACTGCATGCTCCACCGCGGTGAGATTTGACAGCRTGGCTCGACAGTGGGTTAAGTTGCTATTAATATTGGAGAAAATTTTCTTTACTAATACTTTAGAAATTGCAATGGTTTATTAATAATTCTATGATAATTCAGCAAAAGGTCTTCTTATTTTTTATTGGCAGAGATACTGCTTGCAGGTTTATAGCCAAGTTTACAACAGCGCGTCGGTCGTTTCCAAGTGCAGCCAGGTCCTTCTCCAAATGGTCTTTCCAATGGAGTAGTGGTCTTTCTCTAYCTCTGCTTCCCCCGGTGGGTACTGCGTCGAATACTCTTAGAGCTGAAGTATTTTCTTACATTCGGATGATATAACCTAGCCAGCGTAGCCGCTGTCTGTCAATGTCGACGTATATCTCGTTCAGCTAATCGCTTCGTCAACTTGTGGTATGCACCGTTACCAATGCGCAAACGACTATAAATCTCCCGCAGAAGCTTTCTCTAGAAAACTCGTAACGCCGACTCATCAGCTGTTGTTATCATCCATGCCTCTGATCTGTATTGCAGGAGCGGAATGATGAGTGTTGTTGTTTATTAAGCGATGTTAAGTGCCGTTTCACATAATTGGAGATTGGATGGAAATTACTGATAATTACCTCGAATATCTTAAGATCGCCAGAGACACCTAAGACTTTGGTGAAAGCTACAAATGTAAAAGTCAGTATACGATAGGGGCCGATATCTACTTAGCCTGTTTAGAAAAAAGGAAAGTTTTGATTGAGTTTCGAAACGGCGACTTTTTTTTTAGTTTGGAAACCAAAAATTTCAAAAAGGTGGTAGTCCGTCATCTGGTGGTAGTCCGTCATCTAATTTGACCACCGGACGTATAAAAATATGTGTTACCATGGTAGAAGAACACTTTTCTCCTCTAATTGGCCCTGTGACCGTTTTGTTCTTCTGACACCTTGTCAATRCTATCATTTTACGACCGATAGAACAAACCTAACTTCCAACTTCGAGTTTACCGGATGAAATCCAAAGGTTCTACTGCTATTTGACCTCTGGTGCGTCAGCAGATCTATATTTCGTCGTTCTTGCCTTATTGTCCGTGGAAAGCAAACGCGAGCTCCATCTCTGCAGGAAGCCACGCCCAATATTTCATACAGGATCCACAGTATCTTTGAGATGCCTACTGCCTTAGTTGTCTCGTCACCTTCAACTAGCAGTCTGCCAATAAGAGATGGTGTAATTTTTTCACCTTATCTTCTGTGGTTCCAAATGATTACTTTTTTCGAAAAGCAGCGTTAACGTCTGTGAAAAAATACTTACCGACTACAAGAATATACTGGCGATGAGTCTTAGATCTATGCTTACGACCCGGAAAAAGATTTTCAATCGTGACGAAGGTAAAAAAAAAAAAAAAAAAAAAAAAAAAAAAAAAAAAAAAAAAAAAAAAAAAAAAAAAAAAAAAAAAAAAAAAAAAAAAAAAAAAAAAAAATACGTGAAAGCAGGTCAAGATCATGTTGAATTTTTTTTTTTAATTATAGGGGTTTTTTTTTTAATTATAGGGGTGTGGTGAACTCGAACGATTAACGTGCCGGAACCACCGTTTTCTAAATTAGCTCAATGGGATTTTTGGCTATTCAGCAAACAGAAACGACCGCTCCTGGGAAACTGTTTAGAGTCAATTGAAGACATTGAACGTGAATGGCTAAGCGCATTGAAGGATAGTTCGTACCGTCACCACTGATTTGAGGTTTGAAAAAACGTTGGCACAAKTGTATTGGGCCCAAGATGGACTACCTTGAGGATCACAATGTAGATTTTTAAGAAAAATTAAGGAACWTTAAAATTATGAACAAAGTTTTACTATTTTTTCATAGGAGTAGTGTAGTAGTCATTTCGATAAATTTTAGATCATCCATACTCAAAATATATCATTAAATTTTGATGTTTCGAAAACACTGTGTTCTGATTTAGAACAGTACGAATTTGGCATGGTCTTAAAGTGTGCTTGTATGTTTGATGATATTCAAACTCCTTTGGGATTTATGTATAACTAAAGTCCACTACCCGAAACACAATGCGCTTGTAGCTCTAACAGCGGCGTAGTGGCATTTTAGGCGCAAAACGTATACATAGTTTGCACCAACAGAGAGAGACGAAAACCGATGCAGCTTGTTACACTTGAACTTGCCTATATTTCTCTTCCAAAAAAAAAAAAAAAAAAATAAAAAAAAAAAAAAAAAATAAAAAAAAAAAAAAAAAAAAAAAAAAAATCATAATAATAAAAAACATTGTCGAATATTAATTTTACTTACTTTTTTTAGAAAAAATTGCGTTGATTTTAGTAGCAAAAATTTTATTTATTTACTACTTTAATTTTTCGAAAAACACTGCAGTTAATGCGAGAATCCGGCTAAATTTCTGCGCTGCAATAAATCAYATACCAAACTGCCGAAAAAATATAGCATTAATTTGTAGCAAAAATAATTCCTTCAGTTCTTGGCAAATTTTTAATTCAATTCATAATATTTCAACAGCAAAAAGCCGCTTGAGCGCGCATATCTTGATTTATGGGCCGCTAAGAAGGAATCCTTTGCGCGCTCTTTATTACAGCTTTTGTTGCAAAGCAAATTACTGCAAAATAAATTATGATTACTCATATTTTCAGCTTTTTTTTAAGTTTTTTTTTTTTTTTTACATAAGCAGCGTTAGGCAGTTGCAAATAAGSATGAAAGAGGAGAGAGCATAAATATATCAAATTACTAAGAAGAGTGTAGTGAAACAAATTTGCAAAAGGAAAAAGGAAAAAAATTGCGAAAGAAAAATTGTAAAACAAAAACTAAAATTTGCGCCAGAAATTATCGCAAAAAAATACTTTTAATTCCTCTGCTTATGGCACCTATGAATTTATAGAATTTATTTAGTCTGCATTACAGTTGAACTGCCTGCGCCACAACGCCACACCGCAGTCTGCCGCTGTCATTACACCACGGCCAACAAAAGCCTTGCTGCCGGATCAGCAGTGCGCTTTCCCCGCAAAGTTCAAGTTCATTTAATTTGCAAAAACAAAAAAAAAAAAAAAAACGCACACAAAAGAAGCGAGAAAAGGAGTGAGTAAAGAGCGCTCTTAGGTGAAGAGCGGAAGGACGGCAAGGAGCAACAGGAAGTTGTAACTTTTTCAACACACATAAACACAGCACCGCACAGCTGCACCTCGGGCAATGCCACGCAAATAGAAAAAGTAGAAAGGAAACAGCCAGAGTCAGGCAGTTGGTGYCGCCGCAGGCATAGAAATACATACAAAGGTGGAAAGGCAGCAGGCARCCTGAAGCTGGCGGACGTTATCGTGTCAGGCCAGACTGAACTAAGCCCGCCTAGGCGGCAAATGCGGCGAACTCACGTGCGCTGTTGCGCTTGTGGCAGCCATTGTGGCTTGAATTGATGCTGGCAATGCCACAGCGCATACAAGCAAACAAATTTATAACGCATACACACACATACACACTCGCATACAGAGCAGCGCGTATATTTTTAAGTAGCTATTTCTATTTACACCCATTGGCGGCTGGATGCTGTGCACTTTGCCGGAATATTTTGCCAGTGACTTTGATTTATGTTTGCTTTGCGTGCGAGAATACGGCGGAAATTCGCCCAGCGCACAACAAAATCAACGGCAAACACAAGACCAAGCAGGCAAGCACTGCATGCAGCCGCGTACACGCGAGCGCGTGTGTATATGTGAGTGTGCGTTTGTCGTGTAAATAGAGAAAATTTGAAATTGAAATTAAAATTTTACCTATGTACATGTCTAAATTACACTGGAAATTAAAAGACGGCAACAAGTGTGGCGGGGCGTTCATGTGCTCCAACATTGCACGGTTGGCGCTCCGTCTACAAATTTAATCCGAAATTCACAATTAAACTCAAAGTTGCATTTTGTCTGCAAAGTTCTTCAGCCTTCTGGATCACCTGCTGCTGGTGTGCCATAGTTGGCCGTGCGCTTGCCTGTATGCTTTTTGGAGTATAATTTCGTGTTTGCACGCTCCAAAAAGTATGCAGCATATTCATTTAACTACAGGCTGTTTGGTTGGAGAGCAAACAGAAAATTTTGCTTTTCTAAAATACGCAGGTTTACAATTTAATTTCCAACGATTTGCGCACGAAATCAACTTAAGTAGAAAACTGTCCGAAAACAAAAATAAAATAAATTAAGGGCTACCGAGGAAAACCAGCGTAAAAGGCATTAAAATGTGACTTCATGACACAATGTTTTGAGTCAAAGAGGCAGACTACAAATGTATTAAGCTAAACTTCTTATCTTGCTTAAGAATTGGAAGGATTTGTACAAGCATTATCAGCTAGATGAAGTCCAAGCATGAGCATGAAACCTAACCTTGAAAAGCAGAAGCCTAAAAAATGGAGACAACTTCTTAATTCAAGACGTATATACTATAACATCAAATCTAACTGTTCTTGAAATTTTTACAAAATGTTGCACATATGGTATAATCAACTTTTTTGATGTGTTGAAAACTGTCTTAAGAACAGATGAAACCAGCATTACTTTGAGTAGTGAAAGCTGTTGAAAACTTACACGCGATTCTTGTTCTTGAAATTTTTACAAAATGTTGCACATATGGTATAATCAACTTTTTTGATGTGTTGAAAATTGTCTTAAGAACAGATTACTTATTAATTAGATTACTTTGAGTAGTGAAAGCTGTTGAAAACTTACACGCGATTTTTAGATTCTCATTCTTTTACAACCTCAAAACAAACCTATAAACTGACGTTGAGCAATACCAAAAGCTCCGTCAGGATCGGGAAGAACTCCTCGGAGCCGTTCGATATGAGATGAGCTTTTAGACAGTCGTCACATTCATGACTTGAAACCAGCATTAAAACATAATTTCTCATTTCAGCCGTTTACAATGATAAAACTGGCCCAAATTATGCCAAACAAAACTTGAGAGTATCCGCATACCCTCTTATACGAATTCAACGCGATAACTTTGTTATGGCTTAAAGATGTATTTTTTATTTATCTAATCTTTTTATGCAATGTGAGGACGCCCTTGTCCCTTGTCCCTTTCGCAAACAAATCTTTGAACTTTGAAATAGTTGACTTAAWGAAAATATATCTGCGTACGCATCGAAAATAACCAGTAATTTTAGTAGAACTATTTTGTTACACTCAAACTTGGACAATTGTTTTTTTTTTTTAATTCTTTTTAAAATAATTAGTAATTATTATTTTTTGTTMGAAGGCATTTATTCATACACAAAATTTATGTGTCATTAAACAAACGAACTTATGTTTAGACAAGAAGAAAAAAAAAGGACAGAAGCTCTACATAGGTGGCCTTTTGTATTGTTGTGTAATTTTGAAAATTGCAACACTAATGATATATGGAAACTCACTATTTTATCGTGAAATCTGACATTTTTGGTGGTGTGCATACTCAGGTTTTCTTATGCGAGCGCTACTTGTGTTGTTTACAGTAACTTCAAAATCTTATGTTTTCAAACTGTCGTCGCCGATTAACTCAGCAGCATTTTTGACGATGAAGCCTCATCAAAGAGCAGTGGTGAATTCAATCGAGATCGTAAATCACTCGCAAAACGAATTTCGGGAAAGTCGTCGAAATATATTTTTGTCTTGGAAGCTATTGCTGCTGTGCGCAAACTGATATTGCAAAATCGTCATGAGACATATCGTGAGATTTCGACATCTGTGGGCATTAGTAGGACTAGCATACATTCAATATTGTATGAACATTTTACTGTAAAAAATTTTGCTCACGTTGAGTCTCATATAATTTGTCAGTCGCTCAAAAAAAGGCTCGTATCAATTGGTCGAGGGAAATGTTAATATAATACGAGTGCTGTGCTTCGATACACGTCTATGACCTCATGACAAGTGGATTTGCGCATATGAGCCTGAAAATAAAAACCAAACGTATGGGTTTTTCAAGATGAGCCAAACCCTACAAGAGTTGTTATCGCATTTTTGAAACCACTGTATATATGTATACATCACAACCATACCGCTGAAACAAGGTAGAATAATAAACTTGTATATATGTATACATCACAACCATACCGCTGAAACAAGGTAGAATAATAAACTTTGAGTGGTACATATTCATTTTATTGCCAGTTATCTCTCAAGAAATCAGGAAAACAAACCGCAGAAGACGGAACACTTTTCACCATGACAATGCGAGCTCTCACACATTGGCTGAAACAATCATCCTCCGTAAATTTCTGACTTGGCACCGAATGACGTCCTCTTATTCCTGTTCGTAAAAATTAACAAGAGGTCGTCAACATTTTTTTACACTTGAAGAGGTGGTTGATACGCTCAAAAGGCATGTTTTGGAGATACCTCAAGGACAGTGGCAAAAGCGCTCCGAGAATTGATTCAATCGCTCGCAAGAGCATATATATCTTAATATAGTTAACTTTGAAAAACAAGAAAGCGATTTTAGATCATTAAAATTTGTTTTTGTTCGCGAATTGTTCGTAAAGGACGACCGAAAAGGGCAACAACACCAGAAATTATAACCAAAGTACAGCATATGGTTTTGGAAGATAGTCAATCGATTGTGAGAGATTTGAGACACACCTCATTAGGCAGTGTGAGATATATTTTTAGTGAAATTTTGGGTTTTAGAAAGCTATGTACACAATGGGTGCCGCATTCGCTAACAATGGAACACAACACATTCGAATGTGACTTTCTCAGCACCATTTGGAGCGTTTTAAAAAGCAAGTTCGTGTTCGGATATCGGTCAAGAAGGCATCAGATTTTTGGGATGTGATAGGAATTTTTTTTGCGGAGTACTTGCAATCTGGTAAAACAATTAAATCTGAATTGCAATATTTGGACCCGTTGAAGGAAAAAATTTGTAAAAAAAAGGACCCGGTTTTCAGAAGAAAAAAAATAATTTCCATCAGGACAATGCACCATGTCACCGCCTGTAGAAGCATATTTTGCAGACCTTCCGGATTCTCACCTCAAAACATGGTAAGTTAAGATTCAGATTTATACTCTTTTATGAAGACATTTATCTTGATGTGAATCAGTATTTCTCACACCCAGAAAGAAATTTCAGAAACCTGTAAAATATTACTTACATACTACAGTCTGTCAAGTAAGAGCGTGGTCCACTTTAATGACAGTTAATGAAAGGTTTCGCTCTAATTCCTTCGCGAGCAGATAGAAGGAAGCTTTGTCCGTGATGCATTGTCAACAAAGGTTCMGTTGTCGTTGATCTTTTGAAAATAATCACATTAAAAGCCATGAGTGCTAAGTACGCGTCGCGCTACGAGGCTGCGTTCCCTTGCATCAACCCGAAAGGTCGCAAAATGTCGCAATCAGCGGCTGCTAAATATATGAAAAAGGTATCTGTAAAGAAGTGGATACAGCGGTATATAAGTGGCTAAAAATKTCGWTGATTTACCAGAACGTGGTTCGATAGGAAAAGTGAACAAAAAAGATGAAAAAAGAATAGTGAATCTGTTTTCGCGGCAACCTGCTTTAACACTGCGGCAAGGATAAACAAAATTAATGGCTAATGTTTAGATATATCCTACGAAACTATCCGAACCCTTCTTCATGCTCATGATCTGAAATGGCGCAAGATAATGAAGAAGCCTCTGTTGACTGAAAAACTTGTGACAAAGCGACTCGCGACTCGGGTACTCTCTATCCTCACGCGGGCATATATTATATTAAACAAAAGCTTAGTGGAAGACGCACATACACTTTAAGCAGTTGCCTTACGAAATTCGTCGGTTGGAGACCCTTGCCACTACAATGTCAATGATTTGAGTCTATTTAACTATGAGCGTTTGTCTATATATATGCGATCTAATCCCTCAGTTTATGAAATATCGACCGAAAATGTCTCACCTGTTTTTTACTAACCAAGAAACTGCCCATTTGTCGCAACACTCGGTATCGGACCACTAAAGCATATAGCTACCATAAAAACTGAACAATCGGAATCAAGTTTTTTCTAGGAACTTTGTGTAATTGTGAAGGGTATTACAGATTASATGCAACTGAAGTTAACATTTTTCCTTGTTTTATTTAATTTTATATAAGAAAATAATAATGATATTATTTACTTCGGKTGAATACAAGGGAAACTTGGAAATCTGATTGAAGGTGTGAAGTTAACCAGATATCTGTATGTTTACTTAGCATCTGATTCCTGTTTGATTTGATCAATTTGTTATACCAATAAGTATGTTCGATTCGCCACTTGTCAATTCTTGGAGAACCAACAGCAATGACTTTAAACAAAATAATTATAAAGGCTATGAAAAATAATACTGTAAACATTTCAAATATCTAGCTAAGCTTACAATATATCGTACATAATTATACATATATATATCATAGCAGTACTTACATGATACAACATGGCCGGACAGGAGCAGGCCACAGCGATGCGATGCAAAATGGTCACAGCTGCCTTCAACGATTTGGTCGGTATGTGATTCCAATCGGTGAGGACCAGCGTACACGCGCGTACGATTTTCGGATTTAGCAATCTGGGCAAAAACAATAACAAACAAAGAAATCAGTAACAATGAAAAGGTTTGCAGTTGGGCTGATAATTGGGAATATTGAGTGGGGAAAATGTTGATTGAGCAAAGCAATATAGTGGATACACCTCAAATTCGGGCGGAGAGAGCATTAAATATTAATTTCAAATTAATTAAATAAATACAAGTATACACATACACATATGCTTCGGTGTGTGTTTGTGACATTGTATRGGCAAGCAGGTATCTATATTTAATTGAAAACGCTTAGGTTTAATGKTTCGTGGGTATGCAATGCATTTGGCATGTTTTAATTTAGGCAATTAAGCTTTGGCTCTTAAAGCATCGACTCACGCTTCCCGACTCACCGAACCGTTTGATGTTGATTCAATTAAAATTTCGTAACGGTGAAAGAAAAGTGAACGGAACCTGATTTCCAGCATCACATTAAAAGCTACGGCGCAGACCACTCGATGGTATTCAAAATTAATTGTTTTGGGTTTTGCAAAATGTTGGCACACCAACACACACACACGGTYGCCTCGGACATTAGTTGATTGCCTTTTTATTTAAAATGTTTAAAGTCCTTTATAGATGCAAAAGTTATGCCTGATTGAGCAGAAATTGAGTGCCGAGCAAAATGTTTGCGAATATTTCATAATGAAATTCATTGATGTGTGATAAATTGGCCGGCCAATAAATAGACTAGCAGCTCTGGACTACTGCGTGACACTTTAACGCTTTGACAATTTAAGATTTTTAACAGGAAAAACTACTTTTGTCACAAGTAAATGCAAAGTTTTATGCTTATACTGATGTATAGAGCGAGAGTCTCCRTCTCAAGGGACCAAGCATGTAATCTCTTTTGGTATTACAAACAATCGAAATGAATTCAAACACGAGTGCGTCAAATCTCATGCARAATTGATTAAAAATTTCAAAATTTCCATACAAAACATTTTATCAGTGGCCACAAGCTACCAACTACAGCCGATAGGCTCTGGCTTGGTACAGTAGCTGACGCTGCCTAGTGGCAGCCGCCAGTGTTCTAGTTAACAAGAATTGAAATAGAAAACCTTTTACTTACAATGTAAATTACCAAATGCTGTTAACTTGAGCTGCTGCAGACTGTGAAAATGCCGGCAATGAATTGCAGGCAAACACACATGTATATGTATATACACACACACAAATATACATATATAAATATAGTATATTTAGTTTTCATTTTGTTTCAAAAGCGATTACACTTTGTTGCTGTCAGCCATGGAACAACGTATGTACAGCTGGTGAGGAGCAGTGCGGCAAGAGAGTAATGGCAATGAATTGTAGCACAAATAATCGACAAAAGATTCGGCAAGAGCGCAGTACGAGTGGCTGAGCACCCATGATGGACGTGTAGCTGATGGGGTGTGCAGTAAAAATAAATTAAATTTTACATAGAGCAGTGAATAATACTCGTAGCAATGGRGGGAATGGAAGAATACAATGTTGATTGAAGTAGAAGAAGGCTGGAACCGCAAGCTGGCTCTTCAAAATAGGGAGACATATATTTATTTCAACATATAATGGTGGAGAACCTACTGGAAAACGAATCGTTAATATATTTTGACTCGATATATTTTACAATTTTATTTTCTATTTTCCAGTGATCAATAAGCGCTGAGGGGCACAGCATTTGACATTATCAAAATTTTAAAGATTTAGCAGCAACTGACTAATAAAAGAGAATAGTTCACATGCCTCGTTCTGAATGACTTTGACGAATTTTGGTTCCGTGCTATTTTTTCTTGTCTCTCAAACTGAAATTTCTGCACCGTGGAACTTGTTTTTAATCGATCGAAGAAATAAAACAAAATTCTCTGAAGGAGCTGAATTCCGTCGCAAAAAGTGCTTATGAAAAGTGTTTCGAGAACTGAAAAAATCGTTGACATAAGTGTGTTACATYATGCACAGCGTCGTTTTGTAGGTTATGTCAAGACYTGTAGASCTGCTAGATATGAGCTCTGTWGMGCTTTACACATAGCCGCGACATTCAARAGMCAAAAAGACGGAAGTGAGATATTTGACAACCTAATATTTTTCCTCTAGAGCTTTGAAAAATAGCTTTTTAGACACCTCGACGAAAAGCTCTAAAAATAAGAGGTCCCCATATTGCATATGGCATTTCGTGACCTCGCCCAAAATATGGGAGTCAGTCATCAAACCATTTTAAACCATCTGCAGAAGGCTGAATACACAAAAAAGCTTGTTGTTTGGGGGCCGCATAATTTGATGCAGTAAAACCTTCTGGACTGAATCCACGTGTGCGATTTGTTGGTGAAATGGAAATAACTCGACTCACTTTTGAAGCGGATGGTGACTGGCGACGAAAAATGTATCACATAACCACAATATCAAGCGAAAACGGTCGTGGTCGAAGGGCGCTAAATCGTCCCATACAGTGGCCAAGCCGGGATTGACGGCCAGGAAGGTTTTGCGGTATGTTTGGTGGRATTGCAAGGGAATAATCAAGACGCTTCATTGTATCATCTACTGCAAACAACTAGAAGGTTCGAAGCAGGCGAACGACCATAAGCGTTCAGAATTGGCCAACAGTAAGGGTGTAGTGTTCCACCAGGACAACGCCATATGTTGTCATCATTGATAACTCGTCAGAAGCTACGGCAGCTCGGATGTGAGATTTTATTGCATCCACCATATAGCTCGGACATAGCGCCAAGTGATTACTACCTGTTCGGGTCCATGGCGAACGTCCTTGTCGGTGGGCTTTTTTCTTTTTTTGACGCACCTTAATATACGTATATATTTATGTATGTACCCGAAATTCCAACAACTAAAAGCTGTCAATGCTCGTGGGCAATAAAACATGACAATACAGCAATGTCTAAAATTGTAAATATGTAAATTTGTATGTATATGTAATCGATGCTGCTGTCATGGGAGAAGCAAAAACACTTTCTGGTTTGCATGACCGATTAACTGGTTCTCAGCTGCTTGCTCTGTGTTAGCTAAAAACAATTTAAGAGCATTCTATAAGCTTTGACACAATTTTATTGACATCAATACAATATTTTGTAAAATTTCATTTATTCATTTGTGAATATTTTTTCAACTAACAATAAACATGATAACTGATTTTGGTTATTGTTGTGAGCCTCYGAACCAGTATTTGGTTTTGTGGTAGTAAAATAGAAATTTTGAAAGCAAGTAAAGAACTTTTATGTTTTATGGATGAATTTAGTGAATAGAAAAGCTTGGTTTGTTTAACCAGTTTTGTTTTTTTTTTTAAATAATTTATGAAAAAAAAGTCAGTAGTCTTTGTTCTCATAAATAAACTACCACACAAATACAGAGTGAACAAATTGCTTGCTTTCAATTGCCACCAAAAGAGTGACTTATACCTATCGCCCAATTAATAAACTAAACTTTATTTCACCTCCATTTCGACCGATTTAATCAACGGAAACTCTTTTTCAAAAATCATAAAAAACCAATATTCATATTGCTTAAAGTACTCGTTCCTCTAATGTGCAAATTTGYAAAGCACAAAAGCGTTTAAGCTCCCAACCAACTAGTGGGTAAATAATAACTCTAAGTCTGYTGATACAAGATCGCTTGAGAATACAAAATAATTGAGGTAAACACATCAGAAATACCCAATTCAACTACGCTCTTTGCTTTAGCAGTAATAGGCACCTTCTTAGTCTTAGTTCCGCCACAAGCTTTACAACTACTTTGCCCTTTGCATGCTGTCCTTTGTTTGCTGAGATCAAGTCCTGCAAAACTTGGGCGGTAAACTGTTTTAATCGGCTTAAAAATGATTGTGAATGCAAAATTCTTTTCTTYTTCAATTTAAGTCTTATTTATTGCCAACTAAGTTAAAGTAAATTCCCTTCTAAGTGTGAGTAGGTCTACTAGCTTTACTTTGAATTGTGTTTTTAAATACAAAAATAAATATTTTAAGCAAACAAAATATTAATTAAAATATATTTGGGTGTTGGAGCAGCAAATATTTACTACAAAATGAAATATTCACTGATGAACTATACAAATTGTACTTGTASTGTTATTAGCATATGTGAGAACATGTGATTTATTAATGTTGTGGAATATGCAGTTCAATTGAGATGATTTTKAACCGAAAGCAAAGAAATACATACAAATATTTTTGGACTTTAATGAGGTAACCAACTATGTCTCATCGAAAATTTTTAACTAAAAGTTTCGAATATTTAAGTATTGAAGAAAGTTAAGAATACAATCTGATGTAATACAGAATAACAAACTTTGCGAACAAGCGTAACTATTTATATAGTATCTCAATACGTTAATTACACCAAAACTGATCTCTAAGACGACTCACGTGGAACTTTGGTTGTGGCAAAAGATTCAAGTYTTACAAGTCAGTGCGGAAAATACGGAAATATAACTATTCCTCAAGCTACATAAATAAACATAAAAGATAGGACTTCTAACTATCTTATAACAGTCTAAAAAAATTTGATTTTTGAGAATTTAAAAAAAAAAATTATATTTTGAGAGGATGGAACCTAAAACAACTGCACTACTAAAGGAAATTGTCTGTGCAGTGACCAAATAATCAAACATTAAAAAGTCTGCGTTAAAAATATGAATTTCACCAAAAATTTTGGTTGATTTTAGCTTACGGAGATTATGTGTTCAAACACTTTTTCTGTGAGTAATCACTTTCAGCGATAGTCACCTTGCTGTGGCGAAGGAGCTCAGATAAGAATAATAGTCACATCTCAAATGGGAACGCACATTACTCTTATGAGTTGAAAGAGACGCCTCAAAATTCAGACATGAATGAATAAACCATCGTTGCGACAATTGTGAGGACATCAAATCCAATATTATCCTAATCCAAGGTGTTGAGGTATACGTGCTGAAGGCTGCATGGTCATCGGGTGGTAATTGAATAGCTAATCACGAAAGGTCCTCTTCTTGCTCGGGCCAAAGGTACTAAGCGCTAACTTGTGAGA